TGAACTGAGGAGTGAGGGGGTTGGAGAAGGGGCATTGTAGTTAGTTGAATGTGTAATGAATGACCAGGGAGTTCTGTCCAAGGGGAAATTTTTTTCTTGGATTAGTTTTTGCCAAATGGGATAAACAGAAGATTTGAAAAGAACAACATCAAGTAGCCCTAGGCCCTTACATTTAATAAGATGTTCTTAATGTTTGGAAAATCATATCCAGTTTGTCCTTAAGGAGATGCACAAATGATCAGAAAAGTCCATTCTTGGCCACCTCCCAAAATTCCAACAACTTTTTTAAGAGGCTGAGATTGAAAAAAAAAAAAAAGACTCCCTGCCTGATAAAGCCCTATCAATCTAAGTTGGTGTGGTACAGCAGACACTGTTGGTGGCCCACCCAACATCCATCTCCCTTCATCCTTGCTAGCAAAGCCCTGCTTTTGTCAGGTAGCCCCATGTACTATCTGCCACAGAGATTGGCTTCATTCCTATCCGATCCAGGATCCAGGCAGATCCTGATTGGTCCAAGTCAGTCATGGTGGCAACATTGCCCGTGAAGATGTTTGTTTGGGGTATTTGCATATGGCCCAATTTTGGCCAATGATAATGAAGACAAGTCATCTGGTCAGCTTTGGGGAGAGTAGTTAGGGTCGTGGCCCTTTTTCCTTTATTCATGTGCCAAGAGGTAGTATCTCAAATGTCTGCCCAGTTCTCTTCATCTTGTCATAGTGGGGAACGGAGAATCATTCCTGCCCCAACCCAGCCACAGCTACTCCACAGGTATCTGAGTCAATGAGGGCTGGATAGAACAGCAAGCACCTGGGCAGGTATTCCTTCAAACAATGTTCTTTAAAGGTTTAACTTCAATGTAGTGGAGTTGGGGAGAAATAGATTTTCTATCAATACTTTGTTCATTAGAAGCAAATTAACTTCAGTTAATTTTCACTAAGTGAAACAGAGACAGTGTTGTGAAAACATCAGCCAGTCAGTTCACTTTTCCTGTAGTCCTCCTTCCTTTTCTAGCTCTCTTTGATTTTTTTTTGAACCAGACAAATTCCTTAGAGGCACACTGAAGGGCTTACAGTGTAGGTAACACAAAAGATCACACTTAGCTACACAGCACTAGTCACACGTTATTTGGTTTTAGAATCTCTGTTCTATGGATTTTCATTTTAGGGTTACTGCTTGTGGATGCCACAGACAAATTCACTAGGGATCTAGGTCTGCTTTAGAAAGTTTTGTTGTTTTGTTTTAAAATTTCTCCTCAAGGGTAGTAATTTGGAGGTGGCTGATTTACATTTTGACAGTTTGTTCCAATGATAAGCATGGTTTTACAGATGAGCATACCACAATAACTAATCTAGTTGCCCATGCCCTAATCTGGTCTGGGTCACAGATTAAATACAAGATAAGCACTGAGAGTGGAATTACAAAGTGCTGTGGAGCACAGAGGGGGAAAAAAAACCAACCAACCAACCAACCAACCAAAAAACATTGCCCTTTTGTGGCTGGTTAGAAGGTGGTTTGTATACTGGGAAAAAGCATGGGTTTTAGAGCCAGAAAGCAGGTCCAGCTACATAATTTGCTGTGCCCAGCATAAAATGAAAATGTGGAGCCCCTTGCCACACAATTATTAAGAACCTCAAGGCAGCATCAGTAGAACCAAGTGCAGGGTCCCCGTGCAGGTGGCACGTCCATGAAGCCGGTCCTCCCAGAGGGGACTGCGTTCAAATCTCACCCCTGCCACCCCAAAACTTGCTGGCTTTGGGCGAGTCACCCTCTCTCTCTGAGTCTCATTTTTTATCTATAAAATAGTGATAACTGAACCTCCCTTGAAGAGTTGGTATGAGGGTGACACGAAAAGCACTTGACACATGATAGGTTCACATTACTCTTACTTTCTTCCTTTGTGTTGTGGGCTCCTTTCCTCAGCTGTTCTCTAGGCATCCATCTTTAACCTTCTATTCTCATTACCCACTTTCTTTTCAATATCTTTCAAAAGGGTATTAGAGTGAGCATTATGAAATGGCCCACATCTAATCATTTGTAACCTACAAAGTGGCAATTTTATATGGTTCAACCTAATACAAACTCCTTAGCAAGACTGAACAGTATTGTCCTTAGACCCGGGCAACTGAGACCCTTTCTTTGCGCCTACGTTTTAGGGAGCATGCACCTTACCCATCCCCCATGCTCTTCCAGGCGCACCCTTCCCTCCTAATGAAGAGCCCAGGTGGCAAGTCCTCTGCTAGCCCACACTCCTGTACGAGGATCCTAGAATTCCCTGCTCAAATGGCCCTCAGGACCCGCTTGGCCTTTGCCCAGGAGCCTCTTCCTCCTCCTTGCAGGCTGGGCGCAAAAGTTGAATGGGAGAGATCACCACCCCACCCGACAGCTCTTTGGGCGGAGCTTGCACGGGCCAGCGTGGGTGGAGGAGGGGGCGCGAAGAGATGCTGGCACGCATGCGCACCAGTCTCTTCGCTAATCCGCCAGAACCTGCATGGGAGGAGGAAGAGGGCTCGTCTGTGGCTCCCGTTTGTGCACTTGCCAGTCTCCTCCCGCCTCTCTTCTCTTCTTTCTATCTGTAGAGATGCTTCTCCGCACCTCCTCCCAACTACTAATGATTTCCAAGTATTCTGGACGTTTTTTAAAACCTCTGTGACTTTCTACACGATGCTGCCTGAAATCTTTCTCCCTTTTCAACACCTGATAAAATTCTACTAGTTATTTAAGAACCAGCTTATATATCAACTTCTGTGTTAGTCATCCCGGGCAATCCTCTCTACCATCCCAACCCTTACCCTCAGGCTTTTAACTGGTGTGTGTGTTTTACCCGCTGTGATCTCATAACACCCCTTGTGAAAACACATTACACTGCATGTGACTGCTCTTTCAAAGCCCCTGGGCTAGACTGTGTGGGAGCTCTTCCAGGGCAGAAAACATGCTTCTTCATGCTTATTCTCGGTGCCCACCCCCAGAGCTTGGTACTCAGTAGACAGTCAAATCCTTCAGTGTGATGTTGTCATCAAAATCCCGGCTCCCCAGGGACCAACTGGCCTTGAGCAAATTACTGAATCGCAGTTTCCTCTTCTTTGAAACAGAAATGAACACTATTAGCTTCTTCAGTGGTGCTAAGGATTAAATAAAACAATACATTGAAAGCGCTTCAGCCCAATGATAAATAGTATGGACTCAGTAAAGGGTAACCTTAATCAGCTCCTATATATTCTGATTCTTGGTAATGTGTAAGAGGAAGTAAATAGCCCCTTCATGCCAGCAAGGTGGATCCTTGGAATTTGTATTTAATACCATAATCTCAATAGAACTGTGAGAAAATAGGTTTTAAAAATTGCTTTAGGTAAGGCAAGTGATGCTTAAAATTGTTTATTAAAAAGGTACCAAGTAATACTTTTTAATAAATTCAAATCCTTAGGTAACTCTTGGCACTCTTGGCACTAAATGGGTGAGAAAAATACTACACTGCAATCTATTTTGGGAAGTATTCATAATAATGCTTCTATGTCAACTAAATACAGGGAAATAAGGAAGCATAAAGTGTAGTTTTACATCTACCTCTTTAAGAACTTTGCATAAATATAATAACTATTATCTGTTTTTATCATTACACATTTAAGTATTCCTACAAAAATGATGTAAGTATACATATATACATTCCATTTAGATGGGTTTTTTTAATAAAAGGAAAGAGTTGCAAGAAAGTATGTTAATAGAAACACAACAATCACTATGTGTTGCTATAGGTATCATATCCAGTGTGCTATGACCTATTACCCCAAACTGGGGACTTCTGTCTATTAGCATATTGTGCAATATTAAATGAAACTACTGATATTTGCTTTTTTGTACCTTTAAATCCTGTTTTTATTAAGGAGCAAAACCAAGAAAATGGAATGTGATCTAAGCTTGCAGGAAAAATTAAAATGGGTTGATTTTACTTACTTGAATCTTATTGCTCATATAGACTGACTATAATAAAGTTTGCCTACTTTGGAAAAGAATTTAACTGACTATAATAAAGTTTGCCTACTTTGGAAAAGAATTTAATGAGCTCAATTTTTGTTCTCCGAGCTAGTGCGACTAAAATAAAATAGAAAGGACACTGCCATAAAGCAGGTGAAGCAAGCAACTGTTTGGCCCATTGCAAAATCAGACACTTTTCTGCAAGTTATCCATGCTATTAACATGCTATTAACTGTTATAGCTTACAGTCTCAACTACGGGAGATTACAAGCCTATCTATCTACAAGGGCTAATTATGCTAGTTTTTTCTTTTCACAGTAACACATCCCATTGCACTTTTAAGATTCACTCAAGGGGACTTCTCTGGTGGCACAGTGATTAAGAATCCGCCTGCCAATGCAGGAGACATGGGTTCGATCCCTGGTCCGGGAAGATCCCACATGCCGCGGAGCAACTAAGCCCGTGTGCCACAACTACTGAGCCTGCACTCTAGAGCCCTCGAGCCACAACTACCGAGCCTGCGTGCCTAGAGCCCGTGCTCTGCAACAAGAGAAGTCATCGCAATGAGAAGCCCGCACACCGCAACAAAGAGTAGCCCCCGCTCACCGCAGCTAGAGAAAGCCCGTGTGCAGCAATGAAGACCCAACACAGCCAAAAATAAATAAATTAAAAAAAAAAAAAAAAAGATTCACTCAAGTCCATAACAGCTGCTAATTTTAAAACTTAGGACACATGAAGATACCTGAGGTTGAGAATGAATGAGTTATGGGGGAGGTGGAGACACTGATAGCAAACTTAGGGAGATTTCAAAGGCACAGAAAGAAATTTGGTAAATCTCGTGTATTCTAGGTGGTAGGACTGAAAATTAGTGTTATCCTGACAATGGCAACAACAATATCATGGTAAAGTAGTTTTTCTTTGAGTGGTCTCTTGTCCTTAAAAGTAGAATAAATGGAATCCCATCTTTACTCTCGCCACAAGGCACAAATACTTGATTTCTAAATTGGAGGCCAGAGGAGCCAGAAGCTTCCTTATGGAAAGAGATGGCGGAGTTTGGCGTTGAGTTCTCTCTCCTTGCTCAGAAGATGCAGGCTGTGCTTTTTGAAGGCTTCGGACTGCAGCCTGAGTTCATCGTAGGCCTTCTGGATCCCATCTACCCTGCGTTGGAGTTCCCGGACTCTCAAGTTACTGTCTACGGCCACTGCCTCTTGTTCAAACCGCTCTAGGGCACGCCTCCTGGCCACATCGGCCGTCTCCAACTTCTCCTCAAGCTGGCGGATCTCTGCTTGCTTGTTCTGAAGCACCTTGCCCCTCTCCATGGACAGCTGCAACAGCTCGTCTTTCTCACAAGTGACGGTCTGCAGCCTGGCCTGCAGCTCCCGGTTCAGCTGGCTGTGTGCCTGCTCAGCCTTGGCCATCTGCTCCATGGCCTGCTGGTGCTGCTGCTTGAGGCTCTGCAGCTGGCTGCGCAGCTGCTCTGTGTCCTTGGTGTGGCTCTGGAACAGCTCCAGCAGTTCCTTCTCTCGGGCCTGGGCCTGGCAGGTCTCCTGAGCGCTCCTCTGTTTCAGAGACTCCAGCTCCTTGGTGAGGGCCTCACTCCGGGCAGTGAGCTGCCATACTTTGGCCTCCTGGTCCCTCAGAGCCTGGCTGAAGAGGTGGTCATTCTCCATCCTCAGCTTCTCATTCTCCTCTCTCAGCTGGATGTTCTGACTTTTGTGTTCGTCCTTGAAGCGGATCATCAGCTCATGGTGGGCTGCCAGGGTCATAAAGCGTTCCTCCAGCCTCTGGGCCTGCTCGCTCTTGGCCTTCAGCTTCTCAGCATCCTGCATCCCCTTCTCCTCCAGCTCTGTGTTGAGCAGCTCCAGGATCCGGCAGCGCTCCAGGGCCTCGTCTGACCTCCGCTTCAGGATGCAGATGAGCTGGGCCTGCTCCTGGATGCGGGAGTACAGCATCGCCTTCTCACTGTTCTCCTCTTGGGACATTCCCCGGAGGTTTGCCAAGGCTTCCCTCAGACCATCCAGTTCCTTAAACTCCATCTCCTCTTCCTGGTTTTCTAGATTTTTGTTTTGCTTATCTAAGGGTCCTTCAGAGGGTGGGGTGTCCATCCTGAGAGCCGTCTCTTCCTGAGGCATCAGCACTCTCATCTACTATCGGCTGAATGCACGGCCTCCCCCTCCAGATTTCAAAAGCTGCGGTGTTGCTAGGGACTCCTGGCAATGTCTAGCAGTCGCTTTTTCACCCAGTAAGGAGCCCTGTGATTGGTGGACAGGTCTTCAGAATGCCGTGAAGTAACAACAGGGGGACTCCGGTGAGTCCAGAACCAATCTGCTCAGGTTATACTTGCCTTTCTAACCAGTCACAGCTCTCAGCCCAGTGTCTGGCCTGTACTGTACAGAGATGCCAAGCCCACTTGATTTCCAGCCAGCATCAGGGGAAGAAGCCTGACTCCACATAATTTCTTGTGGGAGTGAACAAATCAAGCAGTGGTGACATATTCCTCTTTCCTCTCCCGGCTTCAGTGGTCATGAGAATAAAGTCCTCTCTGTGGAGTGTTGGCTCCTTAAAAAATTTGCATCTATAAATACAAAGTAGCAGTAGTACCCTGAGAGCGGTGATCCTAAATGACTGTGAGTTTGTACCTGTAGTGTTTAACACACTTCAGTGAAAGAGCAAACCCCAGAGAAATCTCTTTTGTTTCCCGAAGCATTGTCCCCAACTGGGAATATATTTTATTAGCTATTCAGCACTCCCTGTTTTACCCACTGGCACAATAGGGTTACGGAGAAAAGCTTAATGGACAATATAGACGTGATAAACATTAAAATAGAAAAAAGATTCAAATGAGGCTTACCTTATACACACCAAAGTCAACTCCAGTTGGATTAAACAGTTAAATGTAAAGACTAAAATGAAAACAAAGTATTAAAAATGGAAACTAGAGGAAAACAAAGGTAAGCATTAAAGTTCTGGGTCAGGAAGGACTTTCTTAGCTTAAACATTATGTAAGAGATGAATAAGGTAACACTCAATTTGACTTAAACATCTGAAGTTATATATAATTTAAAAAATTATGTGACTCTGAGGTCTCTCCAGCCCCTTCTTCCTCAGGACCTGCCTGACGTTTTAGTTTTATTCCCTAGCCTAACACCAGCTATTGACGTTTCCCTGGCAGGCCCTGTCTGTAGGTGTTCCCTCCGCCTGGAATGCTTCTTCCCACTTTGTCCCTTGTCGCTCTAGTAATTTACCCAGCATTTTATACTTAGATAAGAATCACCTCCTCTGTGAAGCCTCTCCTAGCCCGTAAGTGTAGACGTGACCACTCACCTCTTTTAGTGCAGTCACTCTAGCCTATTTGTACTTCCAACAGAGCATTTGAAAGCCTTACTGCACTCATCATTTACTCCCCTGCCTTCCCCTGTTAAACTCTGAAACCCTTAGGGGCAGGAATTGTGTCTGTTTCATCCTTGATGACTAGACCAATGCCTTGGGGAGACTCAGATAAATATGTGTTGAATGGATGTTGAAGGCAAAAATCGAATAGAGAAAAATATCCACCATAAATATGACAGACAACAGATTTCTATTTTTACAAAGAGCCTGTACAAATCAATAAAGCATTAACATCTTAAAAGAGAAATAAACAATTGAATTCACAGATGAGGGGACAGAAATGGCCAAGAATTGAACCCTATCAGGGATCCAATAAATATAAGTTAACAGTAGATATCATTTCATCTATCAAATTAGTCAAAAATTTTCCCCTTCTTTTAAGATGACCCAGGACTGGTAAGGGTATAGTGAAATACGTGCTCTCTTATACCATGGTAAAAGTCAGTTGATGTATTGAGAACTTAAAACAGCTTTATGCCTTTTGAACTAATGATTGTCTGTCTGGGGGAGATCTTTGCTGAAAGAAAGGCCTTTTTCTGAAAGAAAAAGTTTTGCTCCAAGTGTGGTTGATAACGGCTAAAAGTTGGAAACCAAAATGTCCAAAAAAGAGAAAATTTAAAGAAAATTATGATATTTTCATATAATAGAATATTATGTAGACATTAAACATTATCATGGGGGCTTCCCTGGTGGCGCAGTGGTTGAGAGTCCGCCTGCCGATGCAGGGGACACGGGTTCGTGCCCCGGTCCGGGAAGATCCCACATGCGACTAGGCCCGTGAGCCATGGCCGCTGAGCCTGCGCGTCCGGAGTCTGTGCTCCGCAACGGGAGAGGCCACAATGGTGAGAGGCCCGCGTACTGCAAAAAAAAAGAAAAAGAAAAAGAAAAAAAAAAAAAGAAAGAAAGAAAAAACATCATCATGTTTATAGGTAATTTAATGGCATGGAAATACTTGTGTTTGAAAGATAATTGAAAAAAGCGAGATAAAAAAGTTAAAATTTAGAATGATCTTAATGATGTGAAAACTTAAGCACAGAGCAAAGAGTTAGCTATTCCTGCAATCACTGTTAAGTCTGTGGTCAGACTTAATTTCTCAAGTCATGAGGATAAGGAAAAAGCCTGGGGTGTTATTGTACATGGATGGATTTTTAAATGCTGCAGGTTTCACTTGGAGCAAAATAGATCTGAAAGAAGAGTTTGAGATTTTTGCTTTGGTCTCAAAGATTAGGATCTCCTGTCCCAAATCCTGAATCTGTCTATCAGGGAAAGCTGTCACCAGCAAAAGGCTGGGAAAATCTCCTGAACTAAAATTGTAATAACTTAAATTGTAGGTTATTTAGGGTTTAGGAAAGTGAATTAAAAAAATGTGAGTGAAACTTATTTTTAATTTCCCCCTCACATCTCTTCTTCACTTTTCTTTAAATTTCCAGCTTCATATACTGAAATTGGAACTTGAAAAGTTGAGGCAAGTGACTAGAAAATTAGAATAGTCCTCTTCATTTAAATAAAAGGGTCAGACATACATTGACAATTTTATTTGCTGATTATCATATATGGTTGTCTGATGTAGTAAAGTGAATTCACAGAATATGTTTCCTAAGAAAAGAAAAGAAAAGAGGAAAAATACTCAAGGTGTTAATAGCAGTTGTTTCTTGAGGATGAGCTTATGGATGCTTTCCCCTCTCTTTGTCCCTTGCACATAATGGATGCTCAATGAAATCTGTTGATTAAATACATTTTCTACATTAGGAATATTTTATATATCTCTTCTACATTAAAATTATTTTAAATATTAAATTCATAGATCACTTGTCAAGGTTAAGAATCTCAAAAGATCCTAATCAGTATTCATTCACTGATTTATTCAACAAACATTTGTAATGTATGGTGCGGTGCTAGATGCTAAGTATACATTAATAAATTAGGTATATCACTCTTCTCAGAGAACTTTCAGTTTAGTAATAATGACTTTTGGCTCCTTTCTGCCATGGTTTTCTTTGTTATGCCATTTTCCCACCTACCTTTGACCCTGAAGGTATCCAGTATATTCCCTTTCCAGAGGTCCAAGTCATGAGCCTTGGCCAATGTTCTCCCAAGTGGTGACCAACGAGTTCCCTCCACTTGTCTTTGTTAAGTCTTTCAACATCTCCTTTTTAAAGCTGCTATTTACAGAGCTCTTCTATATGCCCCACATAGTACTAGGCATTTGTACATCTTCTCTCATTTAATTCTGACAATATTCTTGAAACATAGGCATTATTATCCACATTTTATAGTTGGCAGGGAACAAAGAAACTAATGCACAGAGAGGTTAAGTTGTCCCAAGTCACTCAGAGAGTAAGTGATAGAGACAGAATTCAAACCCAGATATTTTGATACCGAACCCCATGGTCTTTAGTTCATCATTCATTCATTTGCTTAATCATTCATTCATTCAATTCACATACTGAGAAACTGTATGTCCAAGGTTTGCAGTCCCAGCTCTTAAGATGATTACCTCTCAAAGAATAAAAATAGGGGCACAATGATCTGAAGTCTGATCCCACATCCTGACTGAGGTGCTGAATGTGAAGAGTGAGAGTCTTCTTTTTGTAAGGCTGAAGGAGAACCAGTTCTTTTGGAACAAGTCAGCCAAAGAAGTGGAAGGAATGTTCTGTGATTGGATCAAATGTGTGGGAGCATTTGTTTTGTAAAACAAACTAGTGAAATTAGTGAATGAGCCTGCGGGGGAGTGGAGACAGGAGAGGAGATAGGAGAGCAATCCCAAAGGAGAATGGGGATTCTTCTTGGGACAAGAATTCTTCTTGGGACAACTTAACCTCTCTGTGCTTTAGTTTCTTTGTTCCCTGCCCACTATAAAATGTGGATAATAATGCCTATGTTTCAAGAATATTGTCAGAATTAAATGAGAGAAGACGTACAAATGCCTAAGAGTACAAGAGAAGGCAGGTGTTTGGGGACTTTTTACTTAAATGGTGAATATGGATGAGAGATGTACAAAGAAGTCCAAGCAAGTTCCCTGGACGTAAGCCTAGGCTAACAGTAATCATGCTTTGGTGGGCTCCAAGGCCATGTGAACAGGTTATGCAGTTCCCAGGATCCTCACCATCTACTTAAAGGCTGCAGCAGTCCTGATGGTTGGGGAAATTTCGGCCTCCCTGGAAACAGTCAGCAGTGACTCTTTGGAATATTATTTCATGTTTTAAATAATGGAATTTTGAAGCATTTTCACCAAAGGGGGAAACAAATTACATGGCTACCTAGCTCTTGATTTCTCCAGTGCCCATGTGTATGATACCCTATTCTTCTGAAAATGGATCACTTCTCCCTGGCCACAGGGTGGACACATCATAATCCACACAGGGCCAAGCATAAGATCTTACCCTATCCATTCCTGGCTACCGTGAGTGGTCCAGTAGGTGGGGACGTGACCCAAGCCTGGCCAGTTTCTCCCAGAGCTCTCTCAAGCTGAATCCAGGAAAGAGAAGTGCTTTTTAGCTGAGAGCTTGTGATGCTGGAGCTGCCTGTCCCTGAGGAAGAGGAGAGACAGTATCTGAGTTCCTGGTTCCAGCCCACGAGTCCCCAAAGTAATCTAGTTCCTGTAGTACTTCCTTAATTCTCTGGGCTAACAGTTTATTTCCAATAAATCCCCCTTTTGGGCTTATTTCCGGTTGGGTTTCTGGAAAAAGAAAAAAGAGCCCTAAAACATGCAGTTCGAGGAAATGCCTCCAGTTTAAGAAAATAAAAAATTTCAGCAGGGACTTTGCCTAAAAATCCCACTGGATGAAAAGTCTGTCAACTTGAGTTCACCAAAGAATTCAGGCTGCCTACACTTTATAATGCATGAAAATCCCATTTAGCCTTCCTCTTGTAGCCAGGTGAGATTAAAGCTTTTATAGATTTTTTCGGAAAAACAATGTGACACGACATCCCCTTGGATGACCCGAGGCAGTTGGAAGTTCTGTGGGCAGATGCAAGGATGGTTCTAGTGTCCCCTCTGGTGTTTTGGGGACCTGGGGATGGGGGAGGCAGGCATTCCTAGTCCTAGATGGGGAGATACTAGAACCCATCTCATTCATGCTTCATAGCTGGCTGGATGCTGGCAGATGGCTGAGCAGGTAACTGAAAAAAGGGCTGAGAAAGTAGCTTGTACTAAGAAGTGGCAGGAGCTGGAACAGGATTTGCACTTCTGCTACGGCTCCGGCCGATCTTGGAGATGTGCCTCCTTTCACCTCATCTTGTCCCTCCCTGCAGCCAGAACAGGAAGAGGAAATACAGCTAGATTAACCACCCTCCTAAAAGACCTCGAGAGACAATGAGGGAAGGGCGTTGTTTTAGGTTAGTTGCTCTTACTGGCCAGTGGGTCGAAGGTTCTAGCATCTGTTTCCGGGAAAGGAGGCAAGCACTCCCGATGTTTTCAATGACATTCGTTAGATACCTGTTGTAAGATCTCACCCTCCCCTCACCACCCAGGCTTCCCCCAACCTATATTAAATCAGGGCTTGTTTTGAGATGGCGAGCTAGTGGGGTTCTAAGGGGGAGTAATGCTTTATGTATCAAATGACCCAAACATGTCTTTGTGGAAAACTTTAAGAATAAATGTTAATGTATCTTCAAAGCTTTTCAACTACTTTTTTAAATTTTTTTTTTTTTAATTTTTGGCTGCGTTGGGTCTTCATTGCTGCGCGCAGGCTTTTCTCTAGTTGCGGCGAGCGGGGGCTACTCTTCATTGCGGTGCGTGAGCTTCTCATTGCGGTGGCTTCTCTTGTTGTGGAGCACGGGCTCTAGGCACGCGGGCTTCAGTAGTTGTGGCACATGGGCTCAGTAGTTGTGGCTCGCGAGCTCAGTAGTTGTGGCTCGCGGGCTGTAGAGCACAGGCTCAGCAGTTGTGGTGCGTGGGCTCAGTTGCTCCATGGCATGTGGGATCTTCCCGGACCAGGGCTCGAACCCGAGTCTCCTGCACTGGCAGGTGGATTCTTAACCACTGCACCACCAGGGAAGTCCCTCAACTACTTTTTAAAAATAAAAGTTCTACTCTTAATAACACAGCTGAAGCTTCCCATTTAGAGGAAATGATGCCCAGAGTTGCAGTAAAGACTCTGGAGAAATATTAGCCCAAAAGTTCTTTAGCCTTGCTAGGGAATTTAGATTTTAGGGTTCTTAACATAAAGTATTTCATTTAAAACAAGAAGTAAGATTAATTTGACAATTAAATCATATAATAATTTATTCTAAGGGTTTTTACAAAATACTTTATGAAAATTATACAAACACAGGAAGTACAGTATAATTTAACAATTTACATTCTAATTAAAACTTTGTTGCAAGGCATGTCTGAGACCACTCTCATGCTCTTTTCATATAGTAGAGTTATAAGAAAAACAGAATCTCATATATGCAAGTTTTTTGTTTTACATACGGCACTCTATTACAAAATACAGGCTTGAGACTTATCTTAGGAGAAAATTAAGCCCAAAACTAAATTCCACCTATGGCCGGTGGGTGGCACCAAAGCACATTTGGGACGTTAACACTGGGAAAAGGGAAAGTTTCTCAAGGCAAAAAATATACGCAGTAAATATAGTCTCATTGCCCTAACATGGAATTCCATTTTCAATAGAGATTACAGAGCAAATAGTTTTCTTATGAACAAATTCTTTATCATCACTGATATTCTGCCTTTTTTTCCCCCCGTAGGAGTATCTTTCAGTCACTCTGCTACAAACCAACATTTCTTCAGTTCATGCAAGGGTTTTCAATGATCAAGTGGCAGGCCCTTCTAACTGTAGCACAAAACTGTGGTTTGAAACACATGGTGGTGGGACTTCCCTGGTGGTCCAGTGGGTAAGACTCCACGCTTCCAGTACAGGGGGCATGGGTTCGATCCCTGGTCGGGGAATTAAGATCCAACAAGCCTTGTGGCACGGCCAAAAAATGAAAAAAAAGAAAGAAACACATGATGGCAAATTGGAAAACTCTTTTCATTAACAACACCCCACATTTAATTATTTGTGGCAGCTTTTTCTTTGAAGCAGCAGCAATGGTTTGATTTTGTTAACTTTCTCAAACATCTTCTTTAATGTTGGAGTCACAGACACATTACATGTTTCGTTATCATTTAAGTCTCTTGGGCCTTGTAACCAAAGAAGTTCATGCAGGTTGACTTTAACATGCTGTGTAGCATTTGTTATGGCAATAGATAGAAGGTGAGGATCTCTGTCTACATGGTAACATTTTTAAGATCAGATTCCACGTGTTTAGTAGTTTTCAGTGGAGGAGCCAGTGGACTTTGGGTTCACTTGGAAATCTTGGCAATCAACAGCATTCTAAGAGGCAGGGTTGCTTCAATCCAAGTGTTGGGGGAATTTACCATCTTTTCCCAGAGAGCAACTTCCTCTGAAGTAGAGTCCATCCAATCCACTTCAGTACCATAGCTTTTCCCTGGAAAAAAAGGGAAGCTTTGCATTTAGAAAGGAATAGCTCATTGGGAAAAAACTGAGTCATGCCCTAATTATAATCACCAATGGAAACAGCTAGGAAGAGTTTTAACATCACCAGGAGGGCAGAGAAAGAACTGTTTAACCATCTGAGATATCCAATAATGGGACCCACCACAATTGGGATTATTCTCATTACTCTCAGAGTAATGATTTCTCTTCACATCCATAAAAAAGTTAGATGAGAATCTGTCAGGTGCATAAGGGGATAGTAGGGAGGATTCCAGCATTGGGCTGGAAGTGACAGTAGGTGATCTCTAGGGAAGTGTGGTTACAGCTTTAGTGTCTAACAGACTCGATTTTGAATCTTGGCTCTGCCACTTATTAGCTCTGTTTCTTAATTTCTTGGAACATCAGTTTCTCTGGGGCTAACATTAGAAACAACTCATAGAACTGCTGTGAGGATTAAATGAAATAATGCAAACAAAGCACTTAGTACAGTGATCAGTGCTCCATAAATATTAGTTACTATTATTATGCAAAGCACACTTTTAGCCATGAAGGGCCATAAATGTTTTTTCAGGAAAGAGTAGTGATGAAGGCTTTTCTGGTTTCCCCCACAATAACTTAAGCTCTGTGTGGACAGACATTGCATCCCGTTAATCTTTGTATCCAGAGTCCTTGGCACACAGCCTGACATTCCTTCACTCATTCATTTCATTATACTTAACAGAAACAATATCTGTTTTCATTAGGAAGAAGCAAAACAACAAACCAACCAATCTCTAGTGTCTCCAGAAGCATTTGACTCACGGAGAATTAAAAATGTAACAAATGTTACCTGTTCCAAAGCCAATCCGAAGACCTCCCAAAAACTGGTTGGTTAATTTGTAATGGTCCCAGACGGTAAGCTCGACACAGGCTTCCGTCAGGTCCCCCGGCCTGAACCCATCATACACCATGGTGTGGTTGAAGACAGGGTTGGTGGTTTTCCCCACAGCTCTCGTCTTCTGGCGACTTTTCCTACTTGTATCTGGAAGGATGGTACTACGAAAGGAAACATTATTGTGAGGGCATTTTAATAAGACAGTAAACTCATGCTTTCAGTGTGCTTCAGCTACTGAGGATTGGCGAGAGGAAATGGAAGAAAAAAAGAGTGTAGAGAGATGGTGATGGTGATGGCGATGGTGGGGGCATCCTGCTGGAAAGACTCTCTGCGCCAGAGTGGACCACACTTGCTTGGAATCCTGACTCTGCCACTTAGTGGCTGTGTAGTATAGGAAGTTGACTTAACCTCTTAGACACTTGCTTCCTCATCTATAAAATGGGAATGGTGATGCCTACCTCAAAAGGTTAATAGTAGAATTACATATTAAGCAAACAACTTAGTTCAGTACCTGCACTTAGTGTTTACTATGTAGCGATTGCTTGAGGATTCCTCGAAAATCTATTCCTGATTATCTGTGATAGCCTAAGAAATCAGTCTTGTACAGAACTGCAAAAGAAGAGAAACCTCTCCAATTTGCTAGATTTGACTTTGGGAATAAATTATGTTACATATTTGCAATTATTTATATTTACTTTATGGTAATAAGTGAAATTAATTTAACCTACCATGTCTCTTGTGAAGGCAAGAAGGGCCGGGACTAGTCTTGGAATGGGAGACTAAACTGAGCTGAAAAACTTATCAGTTGACATCTATGAAGAATATGTATAGGGAAAATCATAAATAAGGTCATATAAACTTAAATAGCTACAACTGGCCTTCTGGTAGAATCTATATAGATAAAATTAGTCAGAGAGAGTTAGGAAGGCACAGTAATATCTGTTTAGTTACTATTTACTAGATGCCAAGCATTTATATTACAACAGAGAAAAAGGTTGCAACTTAAAAACCCAAATTGTCTTAAGCTCTTATGAGCTAATTATTAGTATGGGTCTATTTAGCAAATAACTTCCCAGATATTTACAGACTGATGCAAAAGGCCTTTTGCAAATGGGCCACAAAACAGATGCTCCACAAAGGATCCAAGAGGTGTGGCATCACCATTAGCCATTTCATAAACTCTTTAGTATTGGATATTGTCCTCATCAGCAGATGTACCTCCTAGAAGACATTACGTATCTGAGTATGTGATCTCTGGTTTCGACTGAATATATTCCCTCTTATCTTTATGATTTTAAAACTAAATGAAGTACTTTCCTGGTGGTGCAGTGTTTAAGAATCACCTGCCAATGCAGGGGACACAGGACACAGGTTCAATCCCTGGTCCGGAAAGATCCCACATGCTGCGGAACAACTAAGCCCGTGCACCACAACTACTGAGCCTGTGCTCTAGAGCCCGCGAGCCACAACTACTGAGCCCGTGTGCCGCAACTACTGAGGCCCGCGCGCCTAGAGTCCGTGCTCCGCAACAAGAGAAGCCACGGCAATGAGAAGCCCGCGCACCACAAAGAAGAGTAGCCCCCGCTCACCGCAACTAGAGAAAGCCCGCACGTAGCAGCGAAGACCCAATGCAGCCAAAAATAAACAAATAAATAAATAAATAAATAAATAAATATAAATTTATTTAAAAAACCCAAAAAGCAAAAAACTAAATGAAGCCTTGGAGGGGGTTCGTGTCAAAGATCCCTCAAGCTCAAGTCGCCACTGTCTCAAGTTATTTTATTTATACTACGAATGATGACTTTCAGCATCACAGATACAGAAAAGTAAAACCAAGCAGCAAAGGCCAGGCTATTGTAGAACTGAGGGTGGAGAGTTATCAATGCTGTTACCATTTAACAAAAGAATTTAGATGGCTGCCCCTTAGCAGTGGTAGATCAAGGCATTCCTTCACCCAGATGTGCACTTCTCCAGTTGTAGGAAGCTTTTTACCTGTAACAGAAAAAAGAGAGAGAAAATGAAATTCCACTGCCATTCCTCTCTTGGCAGTACTGCATCCAAAGATGCCAACCTAAAAATGGTCTGACATAGCGATGCTAGCTAGTGTTTGACCATATGATCCTAATTGATTATATCTGTTCTTAACTATATCTTTCATAGTCTGGCTGTACTGAGCTCAGAGAGCTCTATGAAAATAATTTAACTGAGTCCAAGTACAGAGTATTACATCATTCTTTTTGGGTTTTGCTTGGCTCAATGAGATCAATTATAGATATTAGGTATGTGAATCATCCATTTACAGTTATATTCAAAACTACTCAGTGAAATGCATATACCTTTCAAATATTAGTACCAATATCAATCGGTGCTGATAGGAGGCATTTTAAACGTATTTGAGTTTAGAGTAACCAAAACAGGTACTGCTTAAGGTATAGTCACTCTTCTTGTTAAAAGTAGTTACAAATTTTATAGGACTACTGTATAGACACACATAATAGCCAGTATTATGGACAGGGAATTACTGAGAAGTTGGCTTAGTCTGAAGGTGTTGTCTAGGTTGGGTGCACATGGGTGGAGGAATACTACCGTATATTTCTGGATGGGTGGGCCCAATCAGTCAACCAACCAGTATTTAATGAGCATCTATTATGTGCTCAGCCCTACGCTAGGAATGTCATTGGACATACAAGGAATACAGGAAATCTATGTCCTTGGGAGATGTTTACAGTTAAGCTAGAGAGAGAAAATCAATAAAAACTATAAAAATGTAATATAAGAATGAAATACAAAGTTATTACTGTAATGTTCGAGAAGATGATGTGATCAGTGAGGGTAAAAACATTCAGGAAAAGCTTTAGGGAGGAGATGGGACTTCATCTAAGACTTGGATAGGCTACTGAAAGCACCTGAGTTTGCAGCCCCTGATTTCAGTCCTAACATTCATATGGATTCTTAAGGAGGACAACTTGGGGAACTGTGTGGGAAATGAGAGGGGGGTTAGCACTCATTTCCTGACAGTCTCTTGCTCCTTAACTGTGCTGGAGAACTGAGGCCCTAACATCAAGGGTGCAATTAAAAATTTTGAAGAAAAAGCTTTCTCCCCTAATGAGACCTTGAGAGTAGAGGACAAATGAGCTCTAATTTCTTAGGGGCTTCATATGAATTCTCCCAATTCCCACCTATGGGGGAAAAAAACACACCAGTTCCATTTGGATCACAGCACTATACAGGAAAGGCCATTCACGCTGTGGAGGTACAAACTTTTGGGAGAGTGAGGTAAAAGTTAAAACAAGGGCTGTAAGCTGGACTGAAAAAAAAATGAGAATTTTTCTCATAGAAACAGAAAATAGAATGGTGGTTACCAGGAAGGGGAACCTGGAGGGAAGGGGAAGAAGGGAATTGTGGTTTAATGGGTATAGAGTTTCAGATATACAAGATGAAAAAGTCCAGAGATCTGCTTCACAACATTGTAAATATACTTAACACTACTAATGGTACATTTAAAAACGGTTAAGAAAAATTTTATGTTATGTGTTTTTACCACAATAAAAAAAAAGAAAATTGTGTAGTTTACAACTGTGGATTGACTCATTCGGTCTATACGATTACTAAATTAGTAAGTTTATTTAGGGCTTCACCTTTGAAAAAATCACAGAACTCAAAGAAATCCTTGAAGAGGGGAGACATAAGGTTAAGGACATAAATCTGGACAGAAAACCACTACATACCAGGCATTGGCTCTGGGACATACTGGAGAGCTAACTTCATTTCACCTCTGTTTTCTGCTTCAAAGGCAACTGGTGCTGTCTGGAAAATGAAGGAATGTCAGCAGGTATGAGACACAAACCATTTACCCTGTTTGTTGGTGCTCTGTTACGGGACCATATCTGCCTCATTTCTCGGATTAGGTATCACTCATGAGTGCCCTGGATTAAAATTTCCCTCCTCATCAGAGCTAGACTGTTGCTTTTATGTCTGAGAAAGCTATATTGTGTATCTCTGCTGGGTACCCAGAAAACATTTCAAGGCCTTTAGTTCAGAGAAATCAGAATGGCTTTCTTGGAGACAGGAGAGGTGTTCTGGGATGCTTTGGTTTTTATAAAAACACATACATTTTTTCAGTCATTCGGCCAGCACATAAAACAACTTATTTGTATTCTCTTTCTTTGAAGGAGTAAGAAGAGTCGGGGTGGGGGGCGGGGGGGAACAAATATTACATTTTCAAAGCTGCATTAACCTAATTATTTTAGACCAAATGAGGAGATGCCTGTAAGAATAACAAAGACTGAACAATAATTTTAAAGCATATCTATTATAAGAGAGAGAGAGTTCTACTTTCAAATTCTGGTCTTTTAGAGCCTTATTTCCAAAACATGGCTACATGTCGGAAACATAAGGGAAGTCAGTTAAAAATGAGATGCTTTTGACAACTTCTGAGGAATTCTCATCTAGCAAGTCATGGGTAGACCTAGAAATAAGTGCTTCAGGTGATTCTCATGTGATATTTTGGAATCATCTCTTAAGTGGAACTGTTTTATTGTGTAGATACTTAATAATAGCTTGTATTAATTGTATGTATCACTTGCAGCTATGATGGACTAGCTGGGATCACACCAACACTCCCGGCGAGGATAAAAAAAAAACTGGATTAAAAGAATCTATTTGAAGGTGATGAAGAATTATTACGATAGACAGGACTCAAGTGGACAAGATGTTGGAGCCTGACATTCTCTGCTTTCCACTTTGAGGCATTAGCTGATTTTCGAGTAGTGCCAACTGAGAGCACAACAAGCCTAGCAGAAAGAGACTAAGAAGCTGAGCAGGGCTTCTCACAGTGCTGGGGAGGCAAAAACTGGACAGCTAAGGAGAGATGGTCTCAGAAAATACTCTAGACCAGTAGTTCTCAAAGTATGGTCTCCAGGCTGGCAGCATCAGCAATGCCTGGGAATTTGTTAGAAATGCATATTCTTGGGCCAGATCTTACCAAAACAGAAATCCTCGGAACAGGACCAGAAATCTATGTTTTAGTAAGTCCTTCAGGTGAATTGGATACATGCTAAAATTTGAGTACTACCTAGGTTTTTCAGTTGCAACCCATGAAAGACCACAGTCTAGGAATATGGGCAAAGAAAAACTAGATCAGACCACGTGAAAGCTGAACCCCAGCTTCTAGTCAGTTCATTACCAGACTAGATTAAGGCGGTGTGTCCCTACTCTGTGTGTCAGATGCAAAAGTAAACCCTCTCAAATTATCCCTAGTACTTTTCATACGCAACGTCCAGCACGCAATAAAAAATGAACAGGCGGGCTTCCCTGGTGGCGCAGTGCTTGAGGGTCCGCCTGCCGATGCAGGAGACGCGGGTTCGTGCCCCGTTTCGGGAGGATCCCGCGTGCCGCGGAGCGGCTGGGCCCGTGAGCCATGGCCGCTGGGCCTGCGCGTCCGGAGCCTGTGCTCCGCAAATGGGAGAGGCCACAACAGGGAGGGGCCCGCAAAACCCAAAAAAAAAAAAAAAAAAAAAAAAAAAAAAAAAAAAAAAAAAAAAAAAAAAAAAAAAAAAAAAATGAACAGGCATATCAGAACAAAGGACCAAATGACCAAACTAAGATAAAAAATTAGATAAGAGAGACTCACAAATGTTTAAGATATTGGAGTTTTCAGATACACACTTTAAATAACTTTGATTAATAAATTCATAAAGATAATGTGAAGATGGAGAATTTTAGCAGAGAAATGGAATCTATACAAAAGAATGAAATGAAAATGTAAATCTGAAAAGTATAATTGAGGACCTGTAGATGGGTGTAACAGCAGATTAGACACAGCAGATAAGAAAATTATTGAACTAAAAGATAGGTTAGCAAAATATAGCCAGCCCAAAGAATAGAGAGGAGAAAAAAAAAGAATAGAAAATATAGAAAAGAACATAAGAAACATATGGGACAGAGTGAAAAGACATAATGATCCCAAACTATGGGTAAGCATTCTGAATGAAAATGCAATTTTACAGCAGCTCTCTCCCTTATCCTAGGCCCCAAACCAACCAACCAACAAACCAAACAAAAAACTCTGCACTTACCTTCCGCCTTAGAGGGTACCACTTCAATTGTTTATTCTGTTTGTTATCCCAGTCCCAAGTTTCCAAATCAAGTTCCACTTCCCCTAGAAAACTATTGCGCTTAAATGTATCTCGATGCCAAACAGACAGGTTCAGTTTCTGCGTCTTTAAGATTTGCCTGTCGATTTTATACTGCAGGTCAAAGAAGGAAAGTAAAGTGGTAAATAATATTATTTTATGCCAAAGTTATGACACAGAGATGAAGAAAAAAGTCATCTGTGTAGATCAGATTTCCTCATCTGTTAGGTTTCAAGTCTCAAGAATATTGCAAAGTCATCTTATTCTAAGTGTCTTGTTTCAAAGAGCTCAAATTCATCTTTCACAAAAGCTCATTTTTCTTTCCCCCTCTGGAAAAGCAAATGATGGCTCAAATATCATAGCCGGTAATAGCTCTCTAAAAACAAAAGCCAATTATTCAATTTTTCCTGGATGTTTTTAGTTCTAACTAGATATAACATAAATCAAATTCAGTCTAAAAATACAAATGAAGTTTAATCCAATGGTCTGTTTTCTACCTAAGGACAAAGTATTTTTTTTTAATAGACTTTATTTTTTAGAGCAGTTCTAGATTCACACAAAATTGAAAGTACAGAAGAGTTCCCATATATCACCTGTCCCATATACATACAACCTCTCCCACCATTATCCTGCAAGGACAAGATATTTTTCAAGAAAAGATCAACCTGTTTTTTGTTGGCATCCTAATAGTTTTAATCTAAAATGTAGTCAATCCTTGATTATAGATAATCATGGAAGGGATAATAGTCTTTCTAATCTAAAAATAACCTCTATTTGGCTTTATGATATACTACTTGACTGTCCATTTTGGTTGTAGCAGACTTGCCTTTCTCTGAGTTTACCATTTAAACTAGCTGGCTTTTCCTGAGTATAGGGTTGAAATAGCTGACCTAGAAATAGCTAGGGTTCTGAAGTATATCATAGTCAAATCATGATTAAAAACTTGCTACAGAAATTTCACCCATGGATGACTGAGGGTTAATTTAATTTTGCTCCTTTTCTCAGAGGATAACCAAATACTTGGACAGAATTTTCAGAAAGAGGGAATGAATAATCCTTCTCATATTTGTAGTTTTAAATAATCTGTTACTCATGACTAAGGCAGCATAATAAAGTTTGAAGGAAAAAGGAATGTGGGCATTTGAGCCAGGTATATTCTTCATTCATCTATCCATCCATCTATCCTTCCATCTATAAACCTTTTTTAAGTACGTATACCAGACACTGTGCTAAGAGCCAGCATTTACTAAGTGTTTAATGCATACTAATTACTTCATACATATTGGTAGGTAGGTACTATTCTTATCTCCCTTTTGCAGATCTGAAATGTAGATGGGTTAGATCATTTGCGTAAGGGTACGCAGTTTACAAGCAACACAGAGTTGGTCCCTGCCCTCGCGGAACTTACAATTAAACCAGTAGTTAAAGTGCTGAATGTTAACACAGCCTATTGTAAAACAAGGAGACTGAGGCAGCAGACAGCAGGGAAACTCAGGGGTTAAGGACAGCTTCTCATAGGAAGAGGCATTTCAGGCTGTGGGAAGTAGTTATGGACAGAATGTGGGGAAGAGTATCCCAGTCTGAAGGAACAGAAAGTCCCGGCAGTGTGAGAAAATGTAGTTCCTCCAAAGAACAGAAAGGAATCAGGGTGACCTGAAGAAAGACTATGAAAGTGGAATGATGAGGCTGGAGCTCAGGTTATCAAGGGAGTGGTACGCGTGTTAAGATGGGTGTACTTGACCCTAAGGATAACGGGAATCCTCAAATATTTTAAGCAAAGAAATAACATGATCAGAATTAGGCTTTTATAAGATTGTTTTGGCGGCAATGCTCAACTTTATCAGCTGTGTATCCTTGAGCAAGTTCCTTTATTTCTCTAAGCTTCATTTGCCTCATCTGTGAGACGCAGATAATACTATCCCCCTGGCAGGGTATGGAGGGCGTGCATGAGATAATGCATACAACAGTCATGGTGTATCATCTCATACAAAGCAGATTCTCAGAAAATGGTTATTCATTTCCTTCTCTCTTGGTGACTGACTTCCTCTGTAGAGATACTACCCAAGATGACATGGCCTTTTAAATGCATAGGTCACCATTTAGGATTTCCCTAGATAGAGAGGTCATAGATACCCGCAGTATCTCATTATACACAGGATTCAACGTTTTCTTCACTACAAGCGTTTTCTTCTTGCCCATTTTGCCCTTGTCTGGTAACAGATAAGTCTTTACATATCTAAAAAGAGAATTGAACAGACAAGAAGGTCAGAGAAAATAAAAGTGATGTGTCTACCTCCATTTTAAAAAATGCATTGGAAATTGATAGAAATAATTATTTCATGACACTAGGAAAAGCAGTATGTAATAAATGCTCTCACCAACACCTTTACGCTTAAGCTTTTAAAGTGATTTCAGTGGAATTGATAATTTTATATTGTTTTGAAGATTTTTAAGGGATATTTCCTGAATTCCTTTCTTCCTTTGACCTTAACTAACGTGAGGCAGGGGGAAGACGACAGACCTCTAACGTGATGCTCAATTCTATTGGCTAGTTTCCTATTAAGAAAAGGCTTTGATGCTTGCAGAATTAAAAAAGTTTTTGTGACTGTCTCTTGAAAAAAAATAATCTGGTACATACCTTATCAAGCCATATGAATGTTTAAAAAAAAAAAAAAAAAAAAAAAAAAAAAAAAAAAAAAAAAAAAAAAAAAGGCTATTAAGCCCAGTTCCTTTTAGGATTGGGCTTATGCTAGTAGCAAAATAATTAAGAATCAGACTTCTGTATAGGGACAAGTAGGGAATACCATTCAACTTTGTAACTAAACTGAAATGCAATTAAACCTGTGATTTCAAAGATGAGTTGGTAATTCCCCCTAAAGTTCTATAGAATATAATTTAAATATGGAAACTGCCTTATTCTAGAATCTTAACTATTTCTGCACCGCAGAGCATTATAAAGTATGTCCCACGTGTCCCTAATCTTAGAGAAAGTTTGAAAGTGTGTGGAGAGAGATTGGGGCTCAATCCATCATTCCTCATTTTGCTGCTGAATTTATGTAAACAGTCGCGTATGTTCTCTGTCCCTTGTTTCCTTATCTGTAAAAAGAAGGAATCAGGACAAAATGACCTCAAAGGTCCCTTCCAACTTGAAACGTTTTGTGCTTCTCTGATATTTTTATAATTTAGTAGGTTTGGCATATGAATCTATAAAGTAAACAGCATTTCCCCCCAACTTTTTTTTCCCAAACGTTCCTTTTAACACAGTCACACACATACCCTCCCTTCAATTACTTTCTTTCCTTCCCAATTTCTACAAGATTAAGAGTAACTAAGAGAAAATAGTGACTCCAAAATGTACTTACGGGTCCGAACGCTGTTTTTTAATATCTGCTGCTGCTAAGTCTTTACACTGGGCCACAAAGACATGCAACTCCTTCAGTGAGTCCACATAGTCGATTGCAAACTGAATATTTCCCTTCACTTCCAGATTGCCAAAGTCTCCACTATAAACACTCATCACACTGCCGCTCACCTGAAAGCGTCGGAAACACGCAGTGTTTGTCTCTATCTCATTCTTGAACCCAACACAAGGATCATGGATGTAATCTTTGCTTGCCATTATTTCTCTAGTTTGCACATAAAAGCAGTTAATTTAATATGGCATCAAAAAAGCATACCAACACAGACAACCTGACATGATATACGTGACATGATGACTAGTGTTTGACAAAAATTGCCTCTAAGAGACATAGATGAAAAGTGAAATGCAAAGTGTTTTAGATGCTGACTCATTTCAAAGCAGGGTGATTTTATGGTAGGGGGCATTCAGAGTTCCATTTTCAGGCATGCTTAGAATTTAGAGTGTTAAAGAAAGAGGATGTGAGAAGCCTCAGGCACACAAATCACAGTGACACACGGCTCTATCAAATTTCCAAGGCACTAAAAAGGAATTTTACTATGTTACCCATCCGCTGAATCTAAGAAAATGCTTACTGAGCCATACACTTTTAGAGGTCAGGAAGGGCAGAAAATGGATGATTGATGAAGGAAGTTTAAAGCCTTCCCAAGGCCATACATTTGATTGTCATCAGCAGAAATTCAATTTAAATAGATTTTTTTTACAAAGAGTTTGAAAAATGCAAGGCTAGTAAGAATTTAAGCACAGATTTATCATTTGTTTAGCATACCCGGTGAGATATGTGCATGTGTACATATATCAGAGATATTTGGATAAGTGTCTGTGGACATATTTACATATATATTTCTACACACATCTTGCACGCACACACAAAACTACCTCACTTTATGAAAGTTCTGTGTAAAGTCAAATTCTCTAAATCAAATCTGAGCAACTACACTTAGGGAGCTTTCCTTTGAAAACTCCATTCTGAATCCCTCTATGGGGCAAAGAATCGCCTCCCCTATTCTTTTACGTGAATCAGTACTTTCATTCATCAGAATAAAAGTCTTGCTAAAAGACAAGGTACTGTGTGCTATACCTGCACACAGTATATAAATGCATATCGGATATAAGCATACTTTGTGATAGTTACCCCATGTGTTGCACAGAAAAATTGAGTGGTTCATCTTGTTGGTAATTTAGGTTTATTTTTTAAGTACTTACATCCAAAACACCATATTTATTTATTTTGGATATGAACTCTCTTGTGATTAAAACAGACAAAAAAGGAAGATTTGGCTAGCCAGAAGCCAACTGTGGGTTAGAGAAAAAGCTCTCATGCCCCTGGAATCTGAGAAATACAACAAAAGGCCCTTTTACAGTAGCAGGAGCATGGTGGAGCAAGGTTCGCAGAAGCAGAGGGATATTAACATGAAGCCTTTGTTTACATACAGAAGACAAGGACGTCATGCCAGAGGAGCTGCTAAGATTGGTTAAAGAGCTCGGGCTCTTCTTGTGTCTGCTGAGCTGGTAACTGCCTTCTGATGTTGTATCTGTTTCTCTGTCATCACTCTACAAAACATCATACAATATATACAAAATTTAAATTCAGAATGAGTCAAGATCAAAATCTGTTTAGATAAAGATAATATCTTGGTATCCCACTGATCTATGACATTTTCCAAGGTCAAAGTGCTAACTGCCAAGGAATGGTATTCAAGATGGGGTGGGTGGTCTGCCTTGGACCTCATCGTAGGAGAGCAGTGGTTAGGTACTGAAATAACAAAGCGATTTTTTTCACCTACAAGGTGGCGATTTTTTTCACCTACAAGGTGCATTCTCTTAATATTATACATTTATATTGCTTGGAAAACTTTGTTGATACATGTGAGAAATTAACTCTACCTAGGCAATAAATGGTCTAACATTTACTATCAAATCATGAAATGTCATGCCTAATTCCTCTCGTTAACATAGGCTTAACTTCCCTAAAAATCAATAGTGTCTCATTTTACTCGAGACACTATTAAACTAGGGAAAACAAATGCTAATCTGATCTGTGTTTCAAGTTTTTTATACATATGTATATATGTGTGTATATATAATTTTAAACCACCTCTTAGGTATTTCTATAGTGCTATTGTGCTTATCTTTTGTGTTGCTATAGGGAAGTATACGGATTTGTACATTCTGCCCACATTAGATTTTAACAAATACAAAAAAAAAAAATAGCAACAAGATACTTATTTTAAATATGTCCCAGGAAATATTTACCTGGGTCAAGAAAGCAAAGTGACAATAATAAATTTTATTATATTTTGATCTATAGTTTATTAGATGGTAGCTTTAAGAATTTATGCTTCAGAATGAGTTCCTTTTGGGGTTAGAGAGTTTATGGAGCAGTTCAGTGGCTCCTGGGGTTAGGGAAACACCTTTATGGAGGAGTGATTAGTTCATGCCAACATATTCCAGGGCCCATGCAATTACACGTCAATATAACAGATGCCAATCCTAATGCAGATTAAGAAAAGGGTTAAAAAATTATGATTTATATGGATGAGAGAAGAATCCTTCCTCAAGGGTGAAAAAAAAATCCATACATTTTTCGTGAAAACACTGATTTTCATAAAGTCGGTACTCAACAAATGTGACTGACACTAAGCCTCAAAGGGACAGTGGACAAAGAAGCCTCAAAGGGACAGTGGACAAAGAAGCAATGCCTGATTTCATCCCACTTCCTTTAACATTCATTTAATGTTAAAGGTACTTTCATCCCAGGTACTTTGAAAGGTGAAATGACGCAGCTTAATTTGGCGTCTCTGATGTACAAACTCAAACAATTTGGACTGTCTTTTGTGTGGAGCAGTGAGGCAGCAGGTTAAAACTGAAGAGAGGAGAAAAATAAAAAATCAGGCCAATCAGGTATCATTGGCCTCTCAGATTATTAGATGGTTCATTCATATGACCAACCAAGACCAAAGCATATCCACAAAGGTATAAAACCACAGGAACTCCACGAGGTGCCTATGCTGGCCTCCAGCTAATGAGTTAGTTTCAAAGAATGAGTGATTCTTTCCAAAGGAACTGTAATGTGGGCTCTTAAGCATATGCAAGGGCTGAATACTTGCAGATACAGTTCATCTGAGGCTCAAGAGTAGATAGAACGGTGCCCAGGCGGTGGGGGAGGAGGGAATGTAATTTATATATTGTCCAGAGCTTTCCTTACATTCCACCTACTAAGAGAACACTTAAGGATGAAGCTTTTATTTCGCCATTAAAAATCAGACCAAAACTGCAAACGGGAACAGCTAACATTAAGGTACCCTGTGACAGCACTGTGCTATGTGTTTTCCCTGCACTATCTCACTGACCCCTCACAATCTAATGAGGCAGGTACTAGGAAAGCACTCAGGGAAGCTAAGGAAATTGTCCATAATCACGTAGCAAATTAGTAGCATGGCCAGAACTGGGAGTGCCTAACCTCAAAGCTCAGGCTCCTAACTAGCTGGCTGCAAGAACATGGAATCTTAGTTAAGTCACAGGACCTGAGTTCAAATCCTACATCTACTTTTTAGTAGCTGTTGGATTTGGGCAAAGTTACTTAACCTCTGCGAGGCTCTTTCTTCTTTTATAAAATGGAGAAATTTGTACCTACCACACTCTGTTTGTGAGAGTTAGACATCAGAGCGAATATCAAGTGCCTGGTACTTACTAGGTACCAAATGAATAACAGGTAATAGTCATGTTCTTACTTGAGACACTAGGTATAGTAGTTAATAGCATGGGGGTCGGATCCGGGCTCCAGTGCTGGTTTAACCCCTTTCTAGCTGAGTGAGGTTACCTTACCTCTCTTACTCTCAGTCAGTTTCCTCCTCTGTAATATCTGAGGATAATGATGGTGCCCACCTCCCAGGGTTAATGGAGGATTAAATGAGATAATGTATGTAAAGTGCTTACCCCCGGTTGATATCCTTAAAGTTTGCTATGTCATTGTTACTTTACTATTTTAACATATGCTTTCAAGCTAGTCATGCTCCCTAGACTTAGCTTTCACAAATCAACTGTACTCTAAACTACAGAGGAGCTCATGCCAACATTTTTCTGCTGGATTTCTTATTTTGTACCCACTTTGAAACAAAAGTCACATTCCCAAATCTATGCACTTTGACTTCACCACCAATAAGAGTTACCGTATGAGTCAAATGAGATGTGCCCTGCCTTGTTCCAGGACTAACAACACTACCTCTATTGACGTGAGAGGCAAAGGTCAGTCCTGCTGACCTCTTCGGTCTCTGCTATGGCTGAATACAGACACACCAACCTTGGCATAGCAAATCCACCTATTTGGTTCCATTGTTCGGAAGGTACAGAAGACAAACTTGCCTCATCTTGGAGAAATGCTGGAACAGACTTGCTCATCCTTTTGAGTTTGTCAGGGTGGGAAAACTGATTATCAGGCTGTGACGGCACTGTGGAAACTAAACAGTAGCATTTCCATTCAAAATTATCCTCACAGTTGTCAGACAAACATAAGGCATAAGTTGAAAACACACATTTCTTTCGTTTTTGTAAATTGGTTAAAGGCATAGTAGTTCACATGCACAGGACCACAAGGTAAGCCACATGCAATTATAGAGAGAGAACTAGCAAGGAGTTGAACCAAATAGAAAACAAAAATTTAAAAACCACTAGGCTTACTGGACTGCAGGACTGGATTTGAATTATACTGAAACCTACTACCAATGTGAATTGGTTTTAACTTCTATTTTTTCACATTAGAGCTTTGAACCACAAGATCTGTACTTTATTGGTTCATCTCCTTGAGATATATTACATTTTTAACATGCTGCAGGCTGAAAAACTATTTCATCAGATAGCAAGGATCTTTGTACACAACTCAGTCGTAAAAGTTTTCTGGCTATTGAGTGTCTAAAAGGAGGTTGGTTTCTTTAGTGATTGTTGGGATTACCCGTAAGAGTGTTTCGCCCTCAGAAAGTCGTGAAAGACTACAATTTCAAAACAAATTATTTTTTGAAAATGGAAATTACTTAGATACCTGTCAATTCAGAGAGTTTTCAATAGAGATATCCCAAGGCAAGTTTGAATGGTTCAATTTAAGATACTCTAAGAATTTACTATGAAAATGTAGCATATGGTTTCTGATACAGTAAGTGTATGTCTGGAAGTCACGATAAGATGATGAATTCGCTTCCTCATTTGTGTAACTCTAGTTAGAAAACTTTCTTCTTCTTTGCCTAAGAATGACAATGTCTCAGCTTTTCTCATAGTGAATCAGAGCTTCTGTATTGAATGGCTTAATATTTTTCAAGGCACTTAGAACAGTGTCTGGCACATATTAGGCTTTATGTAAATATTTGCTAAACAAATAAACATTATCTGATAGGAAATCTTTAAATTATCTTTTCAATGTGATATAAATATACTGACTTGACTTTCTCATTGAAAGAGATACTAGGAAAACAGATAAATAAAAATCAAATTGTATTTCTACATATAACTCAAAAGGCTCAAATTTAGTCCTGAGCATTAGCTAAATTCATCTTTAGTTAAAAGAAATCTAATGAAGGAAGACAGAAACTTGAACTACACATATGAAATATTTGCTCATTCACATAATAGTTCTCACCTAGCTTTAGGCTCACAAATGCATCAAAATACATTTATGGTGTCTCACAAGATGAGACCTACTTTAATTACTTCCCATTAAACAATAACACACGTGTGTGTGTGTGTGTTCAGGTGACTTATACTGAAGCAGTATAAAAGTAGATCCCGCAAGGGCACAATGTAGCCCAATGAGTATGCAAAACTTTTTTTATCATAACACTACTCCCTATTATTTTCAAAAGTATATATCTGTTACTCAAATGTAGTCAGTTTTACACTTATTGGGCTTTAGTTATTTGTGTTTTGATCATGCATTTCATTTTGTCTTGTGGTAAGAATACACTCTTTACTAGAGAAAAGGAATAACCCCAGCCCAGACATTAAGAGTCATCTTGGAAAATATCACAAAAAAGAGAAATTAATTTACCCAGAATTTAGCACATGATTAGCCTATTTCCCTTGACCAATAGCTAAGCTAATTAGGAGGTCACATATGAAGACAGACATATAGGCATACACTGTCTATGCCTATGTTTTGTTTTCACTCCTCAAGTTAAATGTTGAACAAAACACAGAAAGATAAACTAGGATGCCCAAACTTAAGCATGCAGTTGCCAGTTCAAAAGCAACTGGAAAAGCCTCTTTACCCAACACCCCTGAGGGACAGAAGTCTTGTTTCCTCTGCAGCAGCCAGAGAGAGAACACACACCAAGGGCTGAAGCCTGGATTGCCTTCTTTCCTAGGTGGTTCTTAAGAATTTGTCAGGTCATGTCCCAAAGCTCAGCTCCTTCATCTCTGGCAGGAGAACCTCATGAGCAAAGTTTCAGATTTCAGATGAGATGTCACAGCTTTCAAGCACCAGCACTTCTCTACCTAATGGCTCCTTCCTTTGGCTGCTCTACTGTTTAAGAACCATCAGCACATCCAAAGACTGTTGGGAAACTGTTATTAAAAATTATGTGGACTCCTGAGGGCAGGTGTGTGTATCATTATCTTCAACCCTCCAGTGCCTAGGATTATGAAACCACCTCAGACAGGGACGTCAAGAAGACACACATGCATATCTGCATGCTTTGCTAGCCTCCACAAACACCTTTTTAATGCACTATTTGTACTCAAGACAATAGTCACAGTTAAGAACAGCAGTCTTAAGATTGAACAGAAAATGGTAAATAATCATTATCTTTTCTTCATGGTGGATATTAATTAGTTGATGCATACTAGCTACCACAAGTGTACATACATTTCTTTCTTTTTCTAAATTGAAAGATAGTTGACATACAATATTATGTTGTGTACTAATTAATAACTTGACATTTGCATATAAAAATGATCACCATAAGTCTAGCAACCATCTGTCCCCATACAAAGTTATTACAATATTATTGGCCATATTCCTTACGCTGTATATTACATCCCCACAGCTTTTTTATTTTATAACTTAACCTTTTCCCACCCACCACGCCCCCCAGCAACCATCCGTTTGTTCTCTATATCTTTGAGTCTGTGTTTTTTTTGTTTTGTTTTGTTAGATTCCACGTATAAGTGAGATCATATGGTATTTGTCTTTCTCTGACTTATTCCACTTAGCATACTACCCTCTAGATCCAACCATGTTGTCACATACCTTTACGACTTGAGATGCAGATGTTCACTTGCTTTATATATTGAACTACACTAGAGTTTAGTTTTGAACCTCAGAGCTTTTATAACCCTGCACGTTATAAAATTTGCTCCTATAGATAGTGTAGAGAGGCATATATGACCATACTACATACTAATTGTCAAAGTACAGTTCTTTCTTAGGTCCAGATACATTATAAATTGCTTCATGTCTATAGCCTTGCGTAAAGGCCGTAAGAGATCCAGTACTCCAGACCATACTGCAACATAAAAGCCAAGTGATATTAGAAGGTGCCAACTTCATTTTAAGTAAAGATTCAAAAAGCAGAGAGACTGGCAAAAGTATAACAGTACTGAGCAATAACGTGTGTATATATATAATACATATACATATGGATACATAACAATTCTAAATATATATAAATATCCCTCAGTGGAATCATGAATTAATCTTTCAACACAGATAGTAGTAAAATATTTTTAATAAAACCCTTGTCAGAATGAAATAGTTTTGTAAGCTGCAAGAGTTTAGTATAATAATAAATGCTACATTAATGGGGTTAGTTATTTCAGCACATTTGACACCATGTAGAGCGGCAACATTCAGTCATTTGTGAGAAAGATCCTGCTACTCACTTCCTGGAATGCATTCATTTGTATCTGGTTCCTGATCTGCTTTTTGATCTACTCGGAAGAG